GGCTCCCCGCAGAGCAGGGAGCCCGATGCGGGACTCGATCCCAGGACCCTGGGATCATGACCTGAGCTGAAGGCAGTCGCTTAACCAACTGAGCCACCCAGGCGCCCCAGATAAGTCCATCCTTATCCACAGGGGATATATTCCAAGACCCTCACAGGATGCCTGAAACTGCAGATTGGTACTGAACCCTGTCTGTACTACATGTTTCTCTATACCTACCTAACTATGATACAGTTCAATTTGTAAATTAGGCACAGTAAGAGATCAGCAATAACTTGTTATAAAATAGAACCACTGTAACAATATACTGTAATAAAAGTTATGTGAATGTCACCTCTCTCTCCAACTATCTTATTGTACCATGCTCACCCTTCTTACAATGATGTTCAATGATAACACACCTATGTGATAAGATGAAGCAAGGGGAATGATGTGGCATTGTGACATCGTGTTAGGCTATGGATGACCCTCCTATAGGTTAGGAGGACCATCTGTTTCCAGGTTGACTGCAGGGGACTAAAACCATGGAAAGTGCAACAGGGATAAGGGGAGACTCCTATATTTTCATAACTTGAAAAGCAAACATTCTCTCTTACTCTTTCTGGTAGGCACTGGGCTCTCAGCTGCCCAGGGGTCCTTGAGGAAGTCCCTCCCCACCTTGGTGCTGTAGGCTCCTCACAGGGGCTGGAACTGACTTGGTCCCTTCGAGCTCCCACATCTCTCTCGTCCAGTGCCACCAAGCTATCACCAGACTCTAAGACAGGGCTTTCTTCCAATCCTTCCATTATAACATCGTCCACATCACTCAAAACCCCACATGGGTAATTTCCCTGGAAGCCATAGAACAAGTGTTGCCAAATGTCAGGCTGTCACCACCTGTGTAACTGGCCAGAGACAAAGGGAAGAGGCTCTGTTGCAATTCTAAGATTCCTTCCCTCTCTCACCCCAGCTGAGGATTCACTGGTTTCTTCTTCCCAAAGAGCAGAGCCCCACCTTCTTACGACTCTTGCTAGGCTCGAAGAGGCAGAATCCACCCTTTAGCAGTTTACGACACAGTGGGTGGGGAGACGGTACTAACACCAGGCACTTCAAAACAGAAGACAGGTACAGAGGTTCTCAGATTCTGGAGAAAACTGCTGGGTACTTTATCACCAACCAGACACTGGTTGGGCGCCTGGGTGGCTCAGTCAGTTAAGCGTCCGACTCTTGATCTCAGCTCAGGTTGTGATCTCAGGGTCGTGAGTTCAAGCCCTGCCTTGGACTCCACACCCAGCGTGGAGCCTACTTTTAAAAAACCAATTAATTAATGAAAAAAATTAAAAAATTAATTTAAAAATTGAATTCTAAAATAAAAAATATATGCTTTATCCACATGACAACTCAGTATTGGCTCATTGACATGGGCTTTTGGAGGTGGAGTTGCGTTCAAGTCTCCCTTCTACCGCTTAGCAGCTGTAGGACCCTGCCTAAGTTTGCTACATTTATCTGGGTCTCAATTTCCTCCCCCGTAACAACAGAGACAATTCCACCTACCTCACAGAGTTGAAAAATTAAACAATAGGTAAGAAAGTGCCTTGCACGTAATAGGTGTTTGGTAGATATTAGCTTCCTTCCCCTTCAATTTTTCTAAGCAACTGGGCAAAGAAGATAACTAAAAATCTCATGGAGAACTGAAAATAAATCCTTTATACACTGATCTAGGCTTGTGTTTATTTGTTTGTTTATCGGAATCCTAGTGCCTGGTACAATTTTAAAATCTGGTATGGGAACTCTGCAAAGGCGGGGATTATCTTTGTAGCCCTAGCCCAGTGCCTGGCAAAAGGGAAGCACTAGGTGAATGCTTGTTGAATGAATGAATGAATGACGAATTTGATGCAAACAGGGCTGGTGCACGTGTGGAGTACATAAGAGGCACGAGAAGAGGGAGGTCAGAATTATCAGCGTACAGAGTTTAGCTGATCAGTGTGAGGTTTGCAGGCCAACAAGAATTATTCTGTGGAACAGCATTTGAAGTCTGTTTAGACAGCTCTGGGGAGTCCTTTTTCCTAAGTGGCAAAGCTCTTAATACTACTCTAATACTGGGCACCTGGGTGGCTCAGTTGGTTAAGCGACTGCCTTCGGCTCAGGTCATGATCCTGGAGTCCCTGGATCGAGTCCCGCATCGGGCTCCCTGCTCGGCACGGAGTCTGCTTCTCCCTCTGACCCTCCTCCCTCTCATGTGCTCTCTCTCTCTCATTCTCTCTGTCTCAAGTAAATAAATTTAAAAAAAAAAATCTTAAAAAAAATACTACTCTAATACTATCTCTTCTCCATTCAGCCGTGCCTTACTCAGAAAGAAAGGTAAAACGCATGCCAAGAACCAAACATAGATAGTCATCCTGACGGTGAGGAAGCATCACCAATTCAGTTTTTCACACATTTTTTCTAGCGTTAAGACGAAAAGATCAAACTGAATAGATGGCTCCGTGATACAAATATATGCTGTCAGAGTGTTTTTAAATGTAAAATTCTTAGCATTTCCTGACCTAGGTGGGGAGTGGGGGTGGGGAATGAGTAAATAGTCTTATTAAACTTTAAAGATTTATCTGGTGTCAAGTTCCCTCACAGGTGTGTGAGGAGGGGTCTGAAAACCTATTAGTTTATGCTTTATGGTTTACAAAAACATTTTGGATTCTCGGATCTCACCAGGCCACCCGAGGGGCTTCTCCCACAAAGCGATCCTGCTCTCCCCAAAACAATGGGTTTGAGATTGCACTGAATCCCGTTCTGCTGCTCATAGGGAGATTTAACCCTTGGGAAGTTGGAAAGGTCCTGCCCTTCACCTCCCAGCTTTACCCTCCTATAAGGGAAAAAGCAAAAACTAAGGGTTACTGGTCATGTGTTAAATAAAATAAAATGAAAACAACTGCAGGTGCTTGGGAAGAAGTGGGACCTGGAGGCAGTGGTCTAGATAGAGAAGGACCCCATAAATACTTGCTTCAAATATTTGGAGAAGGCAGTCATAATGATGAGAGAACAGAAGGCAAGCTGAGGACAAAGCAGAAGCTGACACCCCAACACCCCTCCCCCCATGGGATCTATGTGACGTTCCTCAGGCACTCCTGGCTGCCCCAAAGGAAAAACAAATAGTTAACTTATAGTGATCACATTCCTACAAGACATGAGTCTCCCTCAGTTTACAAATGTCTTAGCAATCTACAAGAACAAAGCATTCCTACAATAACCTAGCTTCCAGAGGGAAATAGATACAATTAAATGCCCTTATAACCTGCAGCCCATTGACAGATAATTGAAGTGGGCAGAGTGTAATGTTCCTCAAGGAAGTTCCCAACTATCTTAATGTTAATGCCTTACTAGTGGGGTAAACAACCTTAACTTGACAATGGCAAGGCCTCTGGTATCCTGTGAGTCTTCTTTAACATATAAAAATCCCTTTGAAACCTCCCTTTTCCTTACCTCCCCCAACCCCATAGTATATAACCTCACAACTCCGGGGCAGCAGCTCTTTCTGCCCACGGGTCCTGTCCCTGTGCTTCCATAAGCTACCATTTTGCACCAAAGACGTCTCAAGAATTCTTGCTTAGCTGTCGGCTCCGGACTCTACCCCACTGAACCTCACCTATATTCCAAAATCCCATCAATAACATGCCCAACGTTTGGGTCATAACCTCACTGAGATGCAAAGAGATTCTCCTTCCAAAAAGAAAGAAAGAAAAGGGATTGAGATAGGAGCTTTCTGCGCCTTTCCAAAAAGGTTTCTAGGCCTTGGAAATTCAGCAGGAGATTTCTATTCCATCCTGCTAGGCTTGGCTCTACTCCCCAGGGAAGCAGTTTGGCCCAGAGCACTGTTTCCACTGTCCTCACTTCAGCCTGGTATAAAAGAAGGTAAGCACGGGGCCAGGGGCCAAACACCACCAAGCCAGCGCTCAGTGGTTCTATGTTAGTACAGGACATACTGCATTCTAGGAAAGCTGGTGAGTCAGGCTAAAAATATCCATCAAATTCTGACCATCCCAGAATAATCTGATGCCCATGGGCTGCTCCCTGAGAAAGAACAGCTTTCCTGAAATCACAGGTCTAAGCCAGTGGACTTGATGTGGGAAACAAAGGTAGAAGGAAAATTATTAAGTTTCCTCACTACCTACAGCCCATTGACAAGTCCTTGGAACAGGCAGAGTGACATTCCTCTAGGGACTCAGCTGCCTCGATGTTAATACTTTGCTAAGGGCAAAAGGCAATTCTAGTCTGACCCCCCCCTTCCCCCAGGATCCTGTAAGTCTACTTTAACGTATAAAAATTCCTTTGGAAACTTCCTTTATCTCTAACCCCCCCCCAAGATACATGTTGGCAATCATTCCCCAAGCATATGGCCCACTGATATACACCTGAGGGGTCTCATGACTAAGGTTTTATTAAACAGTAATAAATGACCTTTTCCCAACAGTAGCTAGCCCTCTCAAGGTCCTGGAAACCTTGCTTCCAAAATTCTTTAGTGACTTAACGCTACCCCTAACCCCCTCCTAACTTGAAAGTATATAACGGGCCACTCCTCATGACCCCATTGCAGCTCCTTCTACCTACGGGTCCTGTCCCCGGGCTTTCATAAAATCACCTTTTTGCACCAAAGACGTCTCAAGAATTCTTTCTTGGCCGTTGGCTTCGAACCCTAATAACGTCTTTCCTATATCAGACTGACGGGGTCAGGAAGGAGATCATAAACCCGAGGACATTCCAGAAGCATGCTTTCTGCTAGGGGAGGAGAAACTGTCGGTGAAGGAAAAGGTCTCCTTCTGTTCCCCTAACCTTCTCTTACAGAGCCATCCAGTCACAATCCCTCACTCCCGCCCAGCCATGAAGTCCCCCAGGGTCACAAACACTGCTGAGGTCAGAAAACCACAGGCTCCCACACACTTAGGTGCCCTCAGGTACAACCCAACACAGTGAGCTTCACAATGATATGATGCCCATTCCTCTGAACACCCGCCAACTCCTTGACCCACCTGATTGCCAAAGACAGCTATGGAGCAGGCCGTTGAGACCTCATTAGCCCCGAACCAGACAGAAGCAATGCGGGAGGGCATGCCCAGGATGAAGACCTGGGCCACAGAGCAGATGATCTGGCCTAGGACGGTGACTGGGAAGAGATGTGGCTTCAGGCTCCCCAACTTCACCCAGGCCCCCAGGCAGTTGAGAGCAGAGCCAGTGAGGGCGATGGTGCGCAGGCCGAATTTCTCCAGCAACCAGGCCACGGGCAGGATGAGAGGGATGTAGGTCAGCATGTAACACATGGACAGCCAGTCGATGGCAAAGGCACTGACCCCGTAGAAGTTCATGAAGATGTTATTGATGGAGCCGTACTGGATCCACTGGAAGGCATTGCACATGGAGTAGCAGCTGAACAGCAGGACCACCACCCAGCGACGCTTGCTCACCTTGATCACGCTACTGTCCTCGGGGCACGAGCTACTGGGGTAGGCCAAGCCACCGGGCTGGGCCAAGGTTCTGGGGTGGGCAGAACTGCTTGAGTGGGCCGACACGCTGGGGTGAATGGAGACGCTGGGGTGGGCCGACACGCTCGGGTGGGCCGACACGCTGGGGTGAATGGAGACGCTGGGGTGGGGCGACACGCTCGGGTGGGCCGACACGCTGGGGTGAATGGAGACGCTGGGGTGAGTGGAGACGCTGGGGTGAGTGGAGACGCTGGCGTGGGCCGAGGCGCTGGGATCCGAGGCGCTGGGATCCGCGCGCAGGGCAGGCTCCTGCGCAGGGCTGCCATCGTGCTCCTGTTGGTTGGGCTCTTCATTCACCATGACCACAGCCTCTCCTGGAGCCCGAGACAGGTGCTGAGGACCCCGGCAGTCTTAAGGGACAGTGGCCTCGGCTGCTCCCTTAGAGCTGACAGGGCACTTGCCCAGGCCCACCCCAGAAGACACGGAGACCCGAGCCTGCGTAAAAACTGCGAGCCGAACTCCCTTCACTCACCCCCAAGCTTCTGTTCCCACTTTTCCTTGGTGTCTTTTGCCACCGACCGCTGTCCCCCAGGCCGGCCGCAGCACCCCAGCCCGGTGCTGGCTACGGGTGCCTTGAGTCCTCCCCAGGGGTTCAGGCCAAGTTCAGTCCCTCGGTCCGGGAGAAAAGTTCGCGCCTGGCACGGAGCCTCTAGGTGGGACTCGGTTCCGCTCCGGGGTGGCTTGGGGCCCCGCCCCCTCGGGCGCACGTGACCGCCCCACCCCCGTCCAGCCGGGCTTCCCCCACCCTCCTGCTCCCCCCTTCCCTCCCGCCTTCTCGAGCCGGGCTGGTCCCGCTGCGCAGTTGTTTCGCCACAGCTTGCGGGGTGCATTCCTCCCCCACGCCCCGGGTGCCATGGAAACCGCCGGGTTAACCCCCACCCGCCGCACCGCCCCTCAGATTCATTTGCCTCTCCCAGGGGACCCCGCAGGAAAAAAAATCCCCGAAGCTCTGCCGAGGTAATCCCACAGCTAGCGTCTCCTCGGTGCGGGTCCCCATCCCCTGCGCGTGGGCACCGATGCCCGGCGCTTCCGGAGTGCTCTGGGGAAATCCAGGAGGGCTTCCCGACTTTTTACCAATTGGCTGAGCTCCCAGATCCTTGCTGAACTTTCGGTATAAAGAGATTTGTAGATTTCTCGGTCTGGTTGCGCTCCTCGAGTAAACGGGAATTGCAGGAAACTCGTTTTGCTTGTTGCTTTGCCTGCGGACGTGGTCATTTAATGGGGAACTCAGATGTGAACCTGTGAGGCAGGCCTCTTCTTTCCTGTCGGTCTCTGCGCAGCTTCCTAGGCGAGCACCTGCGGGTGGAGGGCAGCCTCTGGGAGTTTGGAGAGTCTTTAGTGGCGGCGTTGTGGGATGGAATACCCAGCGCTATGTGGCCTTTAAGTAGCCCTGGGCTGCCACCTGTTGATCCCAGCCCATTACAGAGGGTAATCCCTCAAGTCATCGCCTCCGGAGTGTCAGGCCTGCAGGGCAGAAATGCCTGTTCGCAGCGTCCATTTCAGCCCCAGAGAGGGATAAAGAGCCGAGATTCTCCCTGGGTGCAAACTCCAGCCTAGCTACTCCCAGGTGTATGATATAAATTACGATACTCCACCTCTCTGCCTCGGTTTCTTCATCCATAAAATAGGGATGGTGAAATCATAAGTACCCACCTCACAGTGTCGTTTTGAAAGCTTGAATGATGTAGGACATGAAAGTGCTTTGAAAGTCCTGGCAGATGGTAAGCGTTCCAGGAGTGTTGGCTATCCTAATAATTCAAAGGCTAACATTTGTTGTATCGTGCCAAACATGTTTACTACATTATGTCATTAAAGCATCACAAGAACTCTATGATGTAGTTACTATGGCTTGCCTGCATTTAAGATCAGAAGACTAAGGCTCAAAAAGTAAAGTGACTTCTTAAGATCCCAATTGGCTTGAAGAGCCATGGTTCCCTGGCAAGTCTGTATTCATTCAAGCTACAGCCTAGCTGCTCAAATGCATCTGGGAACAGCAGTGTGGGCATGCCCCTGGGAGCTCGTTACAAGGGCAGAAGCCTAGCCCAGCTGGACCTCCTGAATTAGAGGCTATATTTTAGAAGATCTCCAGGTGACCTGCTTGTTTGCACATAAAAGTTTGAGAGCCAGTGGGTGCCACTGCTTTCCTTTTGTTTTCTTTTGAAATTTTCAAACAAAAAATGAATTTAAAGCCCCGGGCAGTGGTTCTCATGGGTTGAACATTAGAATCACGTGGGGAACTCAACATTCTCAGTACCTCGGCCACACCCCAAATCAGGTTCATTAAGAGTGGACCCCTGGCATCTGCACATTTAAGCTCCCCAGGTGGGGCACCTGGGTGGCTCAGTTGTTAGGCGTCTGCCTTCAGCTTGGGTCATGATCCCGGGGTCCTGGGTCATGATCCGGGGTCCTGGGATCGGGCTCTGAGCCTGCTTCTCCCTCGCCCACTCCCCCTGCCTGTGTTCCTTCTCTTGCTGTATCTCTCTCTGTCAAATAAATAAATAAAATCTTAAAAAAAAAAAATCTGCCCAGGTGATCTCAGCAGGGAGCCAAGTTTGAGCACCCCTGTGGGGCCTGAGCCCCTGGTTCCCAGGGGGAGGAACACTGGAAACATCCACTTTTTGGCATAAATTATGGGGCCTTGGATTATAATGGAATGTTTGGAGAGAAAACTCATACCCACGAAGAATCTCTACACTAATTTAACAGTCCCCATTCTCAAAATTCCAGCAGTGTTTCCCATCATTCTCCAAGGAGCACAGAACCTCCATTCTCTTGGAAGGCCTTCTAAGACCTCCCACTGCTTCTTATTCCTAGATCATCATGGACCTCTCTCCAACTCTTCACAATGTATTCTTTTTTAAAAGAAAGAAAGAAGGGCGCCTGGGTGGCTCAGTTGGTTAAGTGACTGCCTTCAGCTCAGGTCATGATCCTGGAGTCCCGGGATCAAGAGTCTGCTTCTCCCTCTGACCCTCCCCCCTCTCATGTGCTCTCTCTCTCTCTCTCTCTCAAATAAATGAATAAAATCTTAAAAAAAAAAAAAAAGAAAGAAATTTATTGGGCGCCTGAGTGGCTCAATTGGTTAAGAAAGAAATTTATTAATTTTTTAAAGTAATCTCTACACCCAGTGTGGGGCTTGAACTCAAGATCAAGATCAGATGCTCTACTGACTGAGTCAGCCAGGTTCCCGTTTATAATGTATTCTTAACTGCATCTTACAGATATGGAAACTGAGGCCCAGAGAGTTGGAGCCTGTAAGTCAGAGCCCCACAGCTACTTAGCATCAAAACAAGCAACAGTATGGTTCTGTGAGCTCCCCTCCACCCACCACACCTCCTCTCCCCCACTGCGTGCTCCTCTGGGGTAACAAATGCTTCAGTTTGATGACGAATCCCAAGTGGTCTAACCTGCCATTCCAGTGATATTTGGGGTTGCCTTTTGTGGTAGAGTGAGTCGGAGCTAAGGATCTAACGTGAGGTCTGGATTCAGTTTACTAACCTCTCTATCCTTCAGTTTCTGGTCTATAAAATGAGGATTAAAAATATCTGCAAAATTGTTTTCAGTAATAATAATCTGGGAGCCACCACAGTAGCGCTGTCTCTTGGCTGATTCCCTCCAGGGATGGACAGCTATATAAATGTTGGGTAGATATTACATAAAGAGAAATATTCTGTGTTCATCCATTGAGAAAACATTTACTGAGCAGCTTACTATGTGTTACATATATCTATCGATAGATAGATATGTCCTATCTATAGGTACACCTTGAAGGGGAAGGAGAAATACATTTTAGAGATTGCTTCCTGAAAGGGGGCCCTGGTTCCTTGTTCTATCCCGACTGATTCCCCAGGGAGCTTGAGGGACCCTCTGCATGGAACTCCAGCTTTCCGGGCCTTCAGCGGAATAGTAGCAAAGTCTGCCCTCTAGAGGCTAATAACTACTCCTGGCAATAAAAGCCTGACTCGAAGTCACAATGTCCCACCTGATAAGCAGCGGCTGCAGATGTGTGAGGCATGGAATTTGTTGAGTGCGTAGGAAGGCTAAATTGCTAATGAATGAATCAGAGTGAGATTCTGGATCAGTTCCTCTTAAAAAATACCGACACTTGGAATTTGTGGAAATGTGCCTCTTACAAATCTTATATGTGTTATAGCGCATCCTCACCAAACTATTTTCCCTTATCTCTCATACTCCCATACATTTCCAGGTCCTTAAGGACTTGTGTATATCTTTGTGTACCTTGGAGAATTTGGTAGGATACGCCATACAGCACATGCTCTCAATACTTGTTGGTAGAATAGAGTTGAATTTTACTTTACCATGACATTTCAGAAAACTGGGACAAAACAGAGCTCCGAGAGGTTTTCAGAGATTAAAAAACAGGTTTCATAAAACACTTTCCAAAAAAGCAGGCATGGAATGTCATCAGAGTTATCATCCAACCTGGAAACCTGAAGTCAGGGGAATAATGCCTTCTGAAGGAAAATTGTTTCCTGCCTAGAATTCTATACCCAAATGACCAAAAGAAAACAAGTATGACAAGAGAATCAAACATTTTCAGAAATGCAGAGTTTCCCAAAAAAGGTAGTGCCTCATCCTCTCTCTCAGGAAGCTGCTAAAGGATGCGCTCCACCAAAACAAGGGAGGAAGCCTAGAGAGTAAGATGTTAGATCCAAGAAATGGGAACTCCAACACAAGAGGCAGGCAACCGGAATCACCGAAATCACGGTAAAAGAAAACCCCAGGTGGACCATCACGTACCGGGCACAAAAAGCACCTTGTTCAGATGGAAGCTAGTCAAAAAAACTCCAGAAAAGGTTTATTGAAGCACTTGACACTGATAGGATTGTGTGTGAAACTCTTGAGAGGGGGTTTACACAACTGGGGGGGGGGGAATTAGAGCTTGGACTGGTGACAAAGTATCACAGATGTAACTAAATAAATGGGAGGGATCAATTATTAATTCCAGTGGACTATAAAAAGCTATGGAGGGAAGGGGGGAAAATCATGGTTATCTTAAGTGACTCAGGTGTGAATCACACGGTCATCACAATGTGAAGACTGGACGTTGATATAACCAAGTATGACATAACTCTATTGGAAGATTGGGGGGATGGGAAGTGAGCACATGTGTGTGGTAGGGGAGAGGGTGGGGTAAACAGAGCTAAATCTTTGGAAAGTCAATACATAATGCCTAACATGGACAAAATCAGAAAGTATCAACATACCATCTGGTTTACAGCTCTGGAGGTAAATACCAAAAGATTCATCTAATAAAAGTTAAAAGTCATTGGCTCAGGGGAGTAGGAAAGGAGGTTAAGCAACTGGTATTTTTGATACATGACCATTTGATTTATTAAACTTTGTATAAATTTGGCTTAAAAAAACTCTACACTTTAAAAATTGAATCAAACTGAGTGGAGATTGAATTTTTTCACTGAGGCCCACTGTGATGTCTAGGGGTGTGGTCAGTTCCAGCATGGATTTTATAATGTTAGTGCTAAAATGGACACCCAGGACTCAACCTTAGAACCTCAGGGATGCTTCTTCAGCCGAGCTGTATCCTCCAAAGTTGTGCCATGTGTCACCTCAGAAAACTGTGTGTGTGGTCAGAGGCCCCATTACCCATATCCTAGTCTTGCTTGACCCTTCCCTGACCTTCCTTCTGCTTCCAGTGACTTTTACTT